CGGCTTGTGAAAACACTAACAGATTCATGACAACGCTCACAAGACGTTTCGATTTGAGGTTATAATTATAGAGTTACATCCATTAGAAGAACAGACGTACTTTTTCGACGTGGCCATTTGAATTGTACAGCAGACATATTAAACTAATGCTATCTCTTTCTAACACACATTACTCTCTAGCGGTTTGTGAACTACGTATGGCATTTGTAAGAGCGGAAAATGATGATTTACTGCCAGCTCTCGTGGCGTCTACTATAACAAATCAAGCGAATTTTCAAATGTCATATTTTTATTAATAGTCTAGTTGTGTTTATTGGTTAATGTTTGATTATGAATTACACAAAAGACAAAAGTAGTATAGTAGTGAGAGTTCTGGACCAGGAGCATACTCCTTGTGATGTCACGCTCCATTGTTATAAGACAGGGAGAGTGACCAACCTAAATCTGGGGGTCAAAAAAAGTAATTAGATTTAGGTTGGTATTGAAAAGATTACTAGATTTCTATAAAGATTTCTGTACACGGAAAGGGGAGACGCCACCTAGCTGTGGAAAAAAAAAAGAGAATAAAAATACCAAAATAATTGTATCTTTATTCTCTTTTACCACCATGATGTGGTGACCAAAAAATCACCAGATCTAGTAACTTTTTCAATACCAACCTAAATCTAGTTACTTTTTTCACCCCCCAGATTTAGGTTGGTCACTCTCCCTATCTTATAACATTGGAGAGGACGTCACAAGGAGCATGCTCCTGGTCCAGAACTCTCATTACTATACTACTGACTGTAGTATGAAACAATAGATGGCGTTACGGGTTTATAGAAATACTTTTATTGGCGGCCATGTCACTTTCACTCTTTATCTAGTCGTTGTACCGTCCGCATCTAGTTAACGTGAATTGTATCTTAAAGCACCGTTCTATTAGTAAATGATTATAGTTTATTGGGACCTTAATTTATTAACACCCTACACATCATACGACACTGACAAATTTGTGAACATGGTTTTTATTTTGAGAGAATGTCAACGAAATACTCTTTTTGCTCAAAGAGTATATCGTGAAAGATACTCAAAGCAGGCCTTAAGAGCAGGCGATGTTTCGATAATGTACTACGTAGATTACAAGATACTGAAAGTGTCGACATACATAAACGTCGAAAAAAGTCCTATGTGGTTCGAGAAGAGAATATCGAACTTAATGCTTTATTAAGTTTGCAAGAGAATCCGAATGTGAGTATGCGACAGATCGCTACAGCAACAGATATGAGTAAAAGCTCAGTAAATCGTATTATAAGGCTTCACAACTACCATCCATATCATTTGAATTTACACCAAGAACTTCATGGATTTTTGCTATGATTTTGCTAACGGAGTAGCTTTCTGTATGACAACTTTAGATGAAATAAATGACAACCCTCTTTTCGTATCATTAATTCTGTTTAGTGATGAAGCTACTTTTAAAAGCAACGAGTTAGTAAACCGACTTATGCATTATTATGCTACCGAAAATACTCTATGGCTAAGGCACCTAAATAACCAAAATGTATGGTCATATATGGTCATATATGTTTGGGGCGGAATATTTAACCGTAAAATAGTTGTGCCATTTTTCTTTCATGGTATACTGCCGGGACAAATTTACAAAACATTTTTAGAAGCAGAGTTGTCAGAGTTGCTAGAAGATGTAGATTTAGGAACTAGACAAGGAATGATATTTCAACACGACGGGGCACCTGCACATTATTCCAGGAGGGACGTTCAAAACTTTTTAAATATTCGGTATGGAAGACATTGGTCGTGGAGTTTCAATACCGTGGCCAGCAAGAACACCTGATCTAACACTCTGCTACTTCTTACGACGAAAAAACATATGAAGAATAGAATAAGGGAAAGCTTTAGAAATATCTCTGTTGAAACACTAGATAATGTGCAAGCCGAATTTGTAAATCAACTACATGTATGTGTTACCAGAAATATCCGTTACACCCGCACACGTAAGATTGACTAGACAATTCGCACATTCCCCGAGCATTTTTGACCAAGTCCGAAATAACTTTTAATTTCGAGGTTTGCCTAGTATGCAACTAGACAAGCTTATGTGTGCCAAATGAGGCTCAGGCAAAGACCGAAAAGTGTAAATTAACTTCGGACTTTGCCTAAGGCAAATTAAGGGTGCGCACATTCAAAACACTATTTACTGCTATCAGCGTTACCAACAAGCTGTCTATGTGTGCGTACCCTTTGGTTTCTTAAATAACAATAAAAATAACGGAATTGGAATTTTCCTAATACAACTCTATTTTTGTAAATGAAAACAAAAACGAATAACATACAAAAAATAACAATACGTAAGATTAATGGGAAATTGTGTAAACCATTGATTCCCAAAGTGGTCCACGGGAAACTCGACGGGGGTCTACATTGGCGTGACAAAAAAACGGGGGTTCACAATTCGTAAGTGGGGATCCACGAACATTTTTCTGGTTTCGATAGTGAAGAACTAAAATGTTGGCTTGACTTCGCCTATCAATGTAGGCAGATAATATTTTAAGAAGCTCAAGGACTGTTACTTGTAGAAACTTAACAATTATACCAGAGGTAACTCCAATTCTCTGTGTCATCCACCGACAACATCTAGTAGCGAAAAATTTGAGTGATAGATTGCACCCATCACTTCAATTTGCGATTAATGACTTCCAACGGTTAGTCTTATATACCTACTGAAGTACGCTGGTTGTCGAAAAGTGCATGTTTAACAAGATTTTATTCACTTTTTGAATCAGTGTTAGAGTTTCTGGAAAGTAAAGACCCAGATTTAAAAGAAAACCTTATCAATTTGAAAACAGACATCGCGTATTTGACAGATTTGTTCAAAAAATTTAATGCCATTAATTTAATAAATACAAAGGGTGTAGTTTCAGCCTTTGTAGGAAAATTGAAATTTATGAAGCAAAATATTAGTCGGCGCGAATTTTCCGAGTTTTCAAACGTATCACAGGTAGAATGGCTTGATGAGGATATTCAGACATACATTTAATTGCCCTGCACGATGACTTCAAAATCAGATTTGAAGATATTCTGACGATGGAAATACCACCATGATCATAAATCCATTTGATGAAACGGAAGTGGAGAATGTGGTATTACAAGAGGAGCTACTCGAGCTTAACACTAATGAGGAGCTGAAAGTGAAATTTAAAAGAGGATATCAAACATTTTGGCTGCAGGCAGAAATACCCGAAAAATACACGTCAAAAACCCTTTGCCCCCAAAGGCAGAGTTTTGGCTACTAATTTGACGCAGAAAGAATTCAATCTCTGGGACGTCTTGAATTTTCGAAAGTATGTCTTTCACGCTTGAATTTGATTTCTCCAATACAGCGAGGCAATAATTCATTTCTTGGTTCCAATTTTATAAAGTCCATCGTTTGTTCTCTCCAAAACTACGCCAATTAAGTTTCGCGCATCTCCTTTGCTCCTGTCAAGGCTTGGAACAGGCACAGTAACTGATGTTCCAACCGCAATGCGGGAAATTTTTTATTAGATGTAAACTTCATTTTCACTGCTTGCTCTTTCAATTCTTCGACAGCTTTCCCTTGATTTGAAATCATCGTTTTTTTTTGCACACCGAAGACATAAAACTGATGCTGTTGGTATTATTTATACGCTAGGTACACATGATGAACATCCTGCACACAGCTATAACACTTGTGGACTCCTGAAGTTTCTTTTTCGCATATGCAACAAACAGTTTCCAATTTTGCTATATCAACATCAAGGGCAGGAGATGTTCCTTTAGTATTTTCTGCATCAAGAAACGGAGTTGATCATTCAAGACTTTCTGGATTAGGACGACGAATAAAATTCTCCAGCTCCACAGTAGTTGCAAGTGCCTCTTCAAGATCTTCTTCGGTTCTAAGAACTTTTTTGATAGAATCAGGCAATGACTGTATTCCGATATAAGCGTTTCTTTCTTTAATGAAATAGAAACTGTTATTTTTTTTGTACTGAACTGAAATTATTGCTCACCGAACATCGCTTCAAATAGTATGTGTCGTATTCCGCTATGGTAGAATAAATATGGTGGTTTTCTAAAGCTGACAAAACCCAAAACCTTCGCTCCAATGCTTAGTCTTAATGTACCGTTGCTTACTTTCAATTAGAAATGAATTTGATGTCTTGTTCATGTTCTTATACTAATTGAAACTGCAAATTGTTAAAATAAAAGTTCTTTGCAAATTTACTAAAAAACAGCTTCGTAATAGTGACTTTAGAATTCACTTTTTTGTCTTCTTTTAATTATAGAACACATATTCAAGAGCTAAGGAACAAATATTAATTCACTTGATATAGTACTTTAATGTTTATTATACAACACCTTAACGTAAACTAAAAAAATGACCATAAATTAATTTGCATACAAACATATAGTACAAATAAATAATTACGTGGAGTCTGCAACATCACGTTTTATGGCTTTTGTGGAAAATTTACGGCTGTATTTGTGCTTCCGATAACATTATGTATAAATACCCGGCAAAAAAAAGAAATAATCATTACTTTCTTACACACTCAACAGTAACCATTAATCATGAAGAAGTTTTTAGCAGTTTTCACTTTGGGTTTAATCTCATGTAAGTATCCAAATTTTAAAATTTTTAAAATTAAAAACCAAATAATTATTTCAGTTGCTTCAGCAGCAGAAGAAGAAATCCTTCCGAAATGTTTTGCAAATCAAGTCTTTAGTTACTGTAACACGGCTTGTCCCGATTATTGCAATAAAGGCGATGATTTAGAAATTTGCACCGAGCAATGTGTAATCGGTTGTAGATGTGCCCCTGGTTATGTTAAGGAGTATATCGATTCGGATAATTGCATCTTGGAAAAAGATTGTCGTAGAGTACAACGATGCGGACGCGACAAAACTTATTATCAATGCGGTACCGCATGCCCAAGATATTGTGGAGGACCCACAGATGAAATTTGTACCAAAAATTGTGTTCAAGAATGCCAATGTAAACCGGGATATATTAGGAGATCAAAAGAATCCAATGATTGTATTCCTTACAGTGAATGTCCTGATTTTCAAGTTTAATTTTTCAATCGTTAAAAATATGAAAAGATGTATTAAATGAATAAAATATATTATATTATATGATTATTTTTAATATTCTATCCGTAAATATCCGTGGACTATTTAACCGAGATTCGGATTCAACGTGCTTATATAAGCTAAAAAAGTTAAAAAAATGAGATGCTGAAGAATGAAGAATAAATGCAGATAATTTTAAAAATTCATGAAAAATTTACTTCTTGGATAATTAATCTGGAATTTCCACACATAATAACGAAAAGTGTTTACTTTTTGGCGAAAGAAATAAAGTTTCAAAGTTGCTCAATTTTTTACAGTTTCATTTGTTTTAGTGATGAAACGGATATCCGGCAACTATCCGGTATTTTTTAAAATCCGGTCAATTACCGGATAGTTATCAAATATCCGGCTTTGATCGGATATTAAAAACCTATTACTTAGTACTCCACCATTCACAGGAATTAGTATCTCTTTCAGGTGTTGGACACTGCAGACAATAATCAAGTTTAACCCCAATAGGACTTTTTTCATTGAATACAACTTTGTTTATTTTTATCATTAGCAACCTCCTTGTAACAATCCCAATACGATATATAAAATTTCTTGTTGCAGTTTCGTCTAGTTTCCTTCTCTTCGCTTGTAATTCATTGTAATTCATCATACATTCATTACTAACAGAACTGTCGCTGTTATCACTTTCGATTATTAATTAAAGTATCATCTTTTTAATGCAAAAAGCTGTTTTGAAAAATCACTTTTGGTTCTTGAGAAATAAATTTTTGAAATGATCGACTTTTTCGAATTTTTCAATTTTCGCAGATTAAGTTTTAAAAATTTGTATAAAATCCAGTTCTTGGAATATGAGTATGAAAATTTCCCAAAGTGTTAATAAAAGTGTCCTCTTTCCAATGAACAAACCCGTTTTGAAAAATAACTTTTATTTTTGGAAAAAACAGTATTTGAAATTTTGAAAACATTTTCGATGTTGCAACTTCATCGATAATTTTCAAAATTCGCTATAAAATTAATTTCTTGAAGGATCCTTGTAGAAATGTCACCAATTATTAATTAAAGTATCCTCTTTTTAATGCAACAGGCCGTTTTGAATAATCGCTTTTAGTTTTTGAGAAATAAATCTTTTAAATGATCGATTTTTTCGAATTTTGCAATTTTCGCGGATTAAGTTTTAAAAATTCGTATAAAATACACTTCTTGGAATATGAGTATGAAAATTTTTCAAATTGTTAATAAAAGTGTCCTCTTTCCAATGAACCAACACGTTTTATAACTTTTAGTTTTTGAATAAACAATATTTGAAGTTTTGATAAAATTTTCGATGTTGCAATTTTCATCAATAACTTTCAAAATTCACTATAAAAATCTTTTCTTGAAGGATCTTTGTGGAAATATCACCTATTATCAATGAAAGTATCATCTTGTTAATGCAAAAAGCCGTTTTGAAAAATCAGTTTTAGTTCTTGAGAAATAAATTTTTGAAATAATCGACAATTTTTTCAAATTTTGCAATTTTCGCAGATTAAGTTTTAAAAATTCGTATAAAATCCAGTTCTTGGAATATGAGTATGAAAACTTCCCAAAGTGTTAATAAAAGTGTCCTCTTTTCAATGAACCAATCCGTTTTGAAAAATAACTTTTAGTTTTTGAGAAAACAATATTTGAAGTTTTGATAAAATTTTCGATATTAATTTTCATCGATAATTTTCAAAATTCGCTATAAATTTCATTTCTTGAAGGATCCTTGTGGAAACATCGCCAATTAGTATCCTCTTTTTAGAGTTCAAAATAGTTCATTTTGTATCTTGGATCCAAATAAGTTGACATATCTTATCAACTTTCTTATTAATTTCATTTTTATTCAAATATCGCAATCACTTCAGAAATGCACCAGAAATTATAACCATAATGGCCCGATAGATATGCCGGATAACCAGATATTCGGCCGAAGGGAATGCCGAATATTCATCACTAATTTGTTTTGGAATTAAGTTTCACGAAAAACTTATTTCTTGAATAATTAATCTAAAGTTTACGAATAAGGGAGAGAAAAGTATCCAGTTTTCAGTGTAAGAAACTGTTTTTAAAAATTACATATAATTTTTGGAAATAAATGTTTACATTTTGTTAGTCGTATTGAGTTTCACAATTTTTTGTGTTAAAAAATGTATTATTTAGAAAACTTATCTGGAATTTGTCTTGTTTTTAGTAAAAGGAAGTTTTTGAGAAATAAATTTTCAAGTGTGAATAAATATAAATTGATTAAACTAAAACTAGAACTGATAATAGCACTATCACTAGAACTAACACTAGACTTCACAAGTCTTTTGAAAAAGTGTTTGACGTTTCGGATGCCATGGTGTAACCCCTTCTTCAGAAACAAGTTCGAAGTTCACTTCAAACTTGTTGTGAACTGGAAATGCGCGTTAAAAAATATAACATAGATGTCCAAACCTTTTTACTGGAAGAATATCCTCCGAATTTTTATCGAATAGATTTAGGGCCGGTTGTACAAAATACCGATAAACATTCCGACAGCGTTATCTGGCCGATAAGTTAGCTTCTGTTATATTACAATGTATAGATATTTTTGTCGGTGACATTATCGGCAGAATAACTTATCGGGTACTCAGCAGTGCAGATAAAACAGTTATGCGCCTGATATACAGGGTGATTCACATAAGAACCGTTACGTTAAATCATCTTAATTTATTGTCCTCGAAATCTCTCTGCTCTGTGTCGGTTCTTATGTGAATCACCCTGTATATGGTTACCAAGGTTTATATAAAAACTGTGTATGGTTACCGTATAGGTTAACCTATAACACCTTATGCGTACGTTATGTCGATATTTAAGACTAATCGTTTTGGAAAGCCTTTTGCTAAACCACACCTTCCACAAATATAAACATTTGAGAAAATATATGGTATTAATTAGTTTCCTTTATAACGTTTTTTTTTTTATTTAATCCAATTTTCATTCAAATCAGCATCAAACTAAAACAACGATTTTTAAAAATTAAAAGAAAATGAATTCACACCGGAAGTTTATAATTTGCTATAACCTAACCTCAAACATCCCTTTATAACCTCAAACAGTTTTATATCTTTAAATCAAGTCATTCCGGAGAAAACATTCTTTATCTTTAATCCCATTTGCAACAAAAGTCAAATTTAATGAGTGATTTTTACAATTATTTATAAAATAAATTGGTAACTCTGGAACTTTATAATTTGTTACAACCTAACCTCAAATATCCCTTTATAACCCCCAAGCAGTTTTATATCTTTATTTAAAGCCGTTTCGGAGATAACATTTTTTTATCTTTAATCCAATTTGCAAAATAGTCAAATTTAATGAGAGATTTTTGAAATTTTTTATAAAATAAATTGGCCAGCCTGGAAGTTTATAATTTACTACAACTTAACCTCAAACATCCCTTTATAACCTCAAAATGTTTTACATCTTTAGTTCAAACCGTTTCGGAGAAAACATTCTTTATCTTTAATCCCATTGCAACAAAAGTTAAATTAAATGAGTGATTTTTTAAATTATTTATAAAATAAATTGGTCACCCTGGAAGTGTATAATTTGCTATAACCTAACCTCAAACATCCCTTTATAACCTCAAACAGTTTTATATCTTTACTTCAAGCCGTTTCGGAGAAAACATTTTTTATCTTTAATCCCATTGCAACAAATGTTAAATTAAATGAGTGATTTTTTAAATTATAAAATAAATTGGTCACCCTGGAAGTTTATAATTTGCTATAACCTAACCTCAAACATCTCTTTATAACCTCAAATAGTTTTATATCTTTACTTCAAGCCGTTTCGGAGAAAACATTTTTTAATTTTCATCCCATTTGCAACAAAAGTCAAATTTAATGAATGATTTTTAAAATTGTTTATAAAATAAATTGGTCATCCTGGAAGTTTATAATTTGCTATAACCTAACCTCAAGCATCCCTTTATAACCTCAAAAAGTTTTATATCTTTACTTCAAGCCGTTTCGAAGAAAACATTTTTTTATCTTTAATCCCATTTGCAACAAAAGTCAAATTTAATGAGTGATTTTTAAAATTGTTTATAAAATAAATTGGTCACCCTGGAAGTTTATAATTTGCTATAACCTAACCTCAAACATCCCTTCATAACCTCAAAAAGTTTTATATCTTTATTTCAAGCCGTTTCGGAGAAAACTTTTTTTATCTTTAATCCCATTTTCAACAAAAATCAAATTTAATGAGTGATTTTTAAAAATGTCTATAAAATAAATTGGTCACACTGGAAGTTTATAATTTGCTATAACCTAACCTCAAACATTCCTTTATAACCTCAAAAAGTTTTATATCTTTCCTTTAAGCCGTTTCGGAGAAAACATTTTTTATCTTTAATCCCATTTGCAACAAAAATCAAATTTAATGAGTGATTTTAAAAAATGTCTATAAAACAAATTGGTCACCTGGAAGTTTATAATTTGCTATAACCTAACCTCAAACATCCCTTTATAACCTCAAAAAGTTTTATATCTTTACTTCAAGCTGTTTCGGAGAAAACATTTTTATGTTTAATCCCAAAAAAAGTATACAAAATGAGCAAAATTAGCGGTATTTCGGGCTATAATAAGCATTTTATTGTTTTTAATATTTCTAATATATATATTATTAGTATATTATTTTCACCCTCTACCCTCTTCCTCCATTTCCATACCCTCGCGCTATGGGTGGTCAAATTGAAAAGTTAATAAATATATGCTATTTAAGTTTAAAAAGATTCATAACTTTTGTAATTATCAAGTTGGAATCCTAATTTTTACAAGAATTATACTAGAAAGTGCGTAGATTACAATAAAAGGTGTAAAATTGTTATTATTGTTGATATGAAAATGTTATGGATGATAAAGTCAAAAAGTATATAAAATGAGCAAAATTAACGGTATTTCGGGTTATAAAGCTTTATAACTTCGGTAATATTTATTTTGGAATCATAATATATTCATGAATTACATAAAAAACTACGTACTTTCTGATAAAAAAACACTA